TAAATAAGAGTTTGTGTATCACAGATGAATGAATCAAATTAAAGATAGAAAGGACAATAGATACACATGTAGACAATCATCAAAAATTAAAATAGATTAGTACTTACTTCCTATTGTGTTGTAAATAAGAGTTTGTGTATCACAGATGAATGAATCAAATTAAAGATAGAAAGGACAATAGATACACATGTAGACAATCATCAAAAATTAAAATAGATTAGTACTTACTCTCTATTGTGTTGTAAATAAGAGTTTGTGTATCACAGATGAATGAATCAAATTAAAGATAGAAAGGACAATAAATACACATTTAAACAATCATCTGAAATTAAAATAGATTAGTACTTACCAACTTTTGTGTCGTAAATAAGAGTTTGTGTATCACAGATGAATGAATCAAATTAAAGATAGAAAGGACAATAGATACACATGTAGACAATCATCAAAAATTAAAATAGATTAGTACTTACCAACTTTTGTGTCGTAAATAAGAGTTTGTGTATCACAGATGAATGAATCAAATTAAAGATAGAAAGGACAATAGATACACATGTAGACAATCATCAAAAATTAAAATAGATTAGTACTTACCAACTTTTGTGTTGTAAATAAGAGTTTGTGTATCACAGATGAATGAATCACATTAAAGATAGAAAGGACAATAAATACACATTTAAACAATCATCTGAAATTAAAATAGATTAGTACTTACCAACTTTTGTGTCGTAAATAAGAGTTTGTGTATCACAGATGAATGAATCAAATTAAAGATAGAAAGGACAATAGATACACATGTAGACAATCATCAAAAATTAAAATAGATTAGTACTTACAAACTTTTGTGTCGTAAATAAGAGTTTGTGTATCACAGATGAATGAATCAAATTAAAGATAGAAAGGAAAATAGATACACATGTAAACAGTCATGCAAAATTAAAATAGATTAGTACTTACTTCCTATTGTGTTGTAAATAAGAGTTTGTGTATCACAGATAGATGAATGAATGAAATTAAAGATAGAAAGGACAATAGATACACAAGTAAAAAGTCAAAAATTCATAGTGTATAAAAAGAATACTTACATGTTCTTCCTTCATAAATGTTTGTAAAACTTTTATGAAGGAATCATTAATCAATTATAAATTGATAGAAAATAATTGATGAAATTTCTATGCCAGAAATGTCCCACCCCCTTATCATAGGTATACATACGTACCGAACAGTATCATGCACAGTATCTATAATACCGGCAGGTAGTATGCCTCACCCCCTGGGGAAATAAGTAAGAGGTTTGCTATATTTGTGATTTGTAAATTGCAACCTCTTTCCTATGGGGCTCTGTAGGCTGTACCTTACCATTACTGTTTCACTTTGTCAGGAAAACAAATTATGCACATATATGTAATGTATATCTAGTCTGGGGAATGGTCTGGCTAGCGAGACTAATGTATGTATACATATATCATAATCGTAATATGAAAGACTTGTCCCAGTAAATGCATGCTTAGGTCTATGTGGTATGTGGACAATTTGATCTTATACTTACTTCATCCTATAAAAAGAAATATGATAATAATGATGATGAATGAATGATGATCTACCTTAATTTGAATCTTCTCTTCAGCTTTTTGTTCAGCCATTCTGCCAGACTGCCACGCCTACATGTAGATCATTAATTTTCTTATTTCAAAATGGCGAAAATGCTAAAGGAGAAATTGATCACCTATTACGAGTTAATCCTACAAGTATAACTGCTAATAAAGCTATTAATTATTACTTTTATTTAGGGCAAAGATCCCTCATCAG